ACATGACCTAGCTGGGCTGCCAGGGAAGCTGGGATGCCCCATAGGGTGGCAGGACAGGAGGTGGGCGCCCAGCAGCGGGGAGCCAGAAATGACCTCTCCTGGTCCAGCAAAATTCCTCATCTAGGACCAGTCAAGTCCCAAAGGTGCTGAAGCAGGGAGATCCAACCTGTATTAAAACAGGCAAAGTTTCATAACTGTATTCAGGGCTTGATCTTGCAGCCTTTACTCATAGGACTAATTCCAGAGTTGGGCAATAATTTTCGCAGGGGGGTCCACTTAATGAGTTTTGGTACGTGGTCATGGGCCAGCTCCACCCCCAGGAGAGGCAGGGCCTGAAGAGGAAGGGGTGGGGCTGGGAACTAGCCTCCTCCCAGAGTTGTCTGGGACTGGAGGCTTTGAATTAAAAACACAGCAAAGGGATTGCAGCTCCAGCACCATTTAAATAGGCTCCTGCTACCTGCCCCACTGCCTGGAAATTCAGTTACATGAGCACCAGGATATAAATAGCTATGGATCAGATCAAAGTGTTAGGCAAGCCAGATCCAGCCCCTCTCTCAGTCCTGGACTACCCCCTATAGAACAAACAAAACTTGTCAGGCAACTTTTTATTCAGCTAGATAGAGCTAAATTTCTTAAACTGTAAACTCTTTGGAGTTAAAACTGCAAGTCATATGTATAGAAAACAGCTTCCACACAGTATAGGCAACTGGAATGTAGGTAATAAATAAATCTAGACAGCTATATGGTGCTTATCATTGTAGTATCTAAGTGTCTCTAGACCTGTGGTATCAGGCTTTAACCTAGAAGACTTTAATATATACATAGTGCTTTCTTTGGCTACAGTGCAATTGTGATTTTATTACAAATGTAAAATGCTTTTTTTTTTAAAAAAAAATGCAATTTAAGTTCATAGAAGGCTTGTAAAAATGCTGTACTCAGTTAACGTTAACTCTGGTCTTTGTTTTTAAGATGAAAATGTAGAAGAGCAAATCAGAGATCCATTAATTATATGACAATGGAAAACTCAGATCATCTTGAAAACTAGATGGGTTTAAAGTGAGTGACACTACCTGGTTGCTTTCCACTAATGTGTATTGTTTAGAATGAAGCAGAACCCAAGAGGCTAAGGAATCAGTTTTATCCTTTAGCATAACACAAAGCACAGCATGTAAAAAATGTTCCAACAAACTCACCTTACCCCAAAAGATTTAAATCTTCTATCCAGAAAGAGCAAATTGCATGTCAGCAATACAGTAGAAATAACTTCCCGGAAGACAAATGGCATTTCAGAAACAATACTTTTTGTCTTCATTTAAAATTCCCATTTTTAGAAGTGACTAAAGCTATCCTGAGCTCTCACACTGAAGAGACAAGAATAAATCTTGTTTTCTTCCTTCACACACTATTCAGCTGTTGTGAAAGGGACAGAGAGTAATAATTATATTTATAAAGGGCCCTGCACAAAAACTTCCTTATAAAACATGGTAACATTTTCACATTTAAGCAAGAAACACAGAATGGGGAGGGGCAAATGGGGAAGATGGGAGAGAATGGATTTTAGGTAATGTTTAAACATTGGGAGAGATGCTTTGAGGTAGTTATTCATGAAGGTGTGGGTAGAAAACAAGTTCCATGTCGGAGGGCCCATCTCCACATCTTAGGACCCATTACAGGAAAGGCCCAAAAATCTGACCTAAGGCCAAAAATAACTGGCACCTTAAAAGAAATAGATACCTAGCCCCCCGTCCCCTCCCAAAAAATGAGGAAAGAGTCCTGAAATCTAGCCAGTGCCTACACTGATAAGGGCTTTAAAAATCAACATGAGCAAATGGAATACATTTAAAATAAGTTTACATACTCTTACTGCCCTGGTCAATGGAATTTCTTATGCAGTTCTAGCTTTTTTTCCTTCCCCATAAAACATTTGGCATAAGCCATAGAGAGCAAAAACGTATTTCCGAGCTGTCAATGGAATGGAATCCTTACCTTGCAGAAATACCTTCTGGAAGGACAATGAGCTTAAACTGGCACACATTCAAAAATTATTTTGCCAGTGCATCAGCAATTATAAGCAAAACACACTTTTCAAAAAGACACCCAAGTTGAGAAAGGCGGCCATGTCGCTGGGCTGCATTCCTTGGTGTTTGATCTGAAGCACTCATTCTAAAGTGCCCAAGGAGGTAGGTGTACAAAGATGTATGGCCAGGGGAGTAATGAAAGGACTACATTACAGCAGTCGTTCAAAGAGAAAGTACAATGCATCAGACAGAACACACAGACATGACAGGCATTCCTTCCCTGGAGGTCTGAATACACAGAATGAAGAAAATGCTTTCCCTCCCCACCACCTTAGGGGAAGGTCTTCTAATCTAGAACGAAGATGCATGGATACGAAATTGCCTTCTGTAGGTTGTAGCAACAAACCTACAACATATAATTCAGAGAATTTCTCTATTCCAAACATTTTAAAATAACTCACGTTTACCTTTAAATGCAAGAGGAGGGGATGGAGGGCAAAAGAGGATACTTGCAATGGTATATTGAAGATTTAGGACCACAACCTTTTGATTTAACTTTCAAGTCAATAATTTGTATAACCAGTAGCCCTCACATTTAGCAACATCAATCCTTGGCAGTCACTACATTGTAATTAGCATTAGTAGCTGACCTGGCTGCTGCTCAGCAATGAGATCATTTGTCTGGTCACATAAAAGTCCAAGACGGTTAATGTTAGACTCTCTATAAAGTATCCATTACAAAGATGTCAAAGCTTTCTCTTTTTTTCATAGATTCCAAGGTCAGAAGGGCCCATTGTGATAATTTAGTCAGACCTCCTGTACACACAGGCCATACAGAACTTCCCCTAAGAGCAAATCCTTTAGAAAAATATGAAATCTTGACTTTAAAATTGTTTTTAGCATAAGCTTGAAAAGGCTTTTTGTATTAAAATGTTTAAAATATTAAATGCAGCTTGTTCAAAGGGACAGCTCATGACTTAAGATCAACTTAATACAGTAAGCTCAGCATGTGGAAGTCCAACGGACAGTTAGCACAGATCAAAGGCACATCACACCAGTGCTCCACGTGTGCCATCTGGCTGCCAGTTTAATTCCAGATTCAGATTCTCCTATTTTTATTCACATATGGAATATGGCCAGGCATGGCGTCCTAGATACTGTCTCTTGTATTCCCCTACAGGACTATTAAAATTGACAAAATACTTTGGCTGACAATCACAAGAAGAGAACTCATAAGAATTGGGTCAGGGTTCTCTCAGTAGATGCCCCTCACTTGAAGGATCTTTTCTTTTGATGAGGCCTTATATGGTCACATTTGGGGCAAACATGAAACAGACCTATCTACATGAGCGTGCCCTCCCCTAGTAGAGAAGTGAAGTCTCCAGGGAATGAACTCCTGACCGTCATATGGGTTCCCACTGTTATTTCTGGGGAAACAGAAGAAGGCATTTTTCCACAGTGAACACCTGCGGTACTTCTACTCTACACTAAGTGTGCTCAGATATTGCCACAGAGCTAACTGGTTTAAAAAAAACACAACAAAATATTGTCCTGGTTAGGACAACATTAGGAATGAGAAAAAATGGTTCCCATCAGGCCCGCCAACAGGAGGAGCAAAGGGGCAGCTGCCCCGGGGCCTGACTATTCATTCACCACTGGGGCCCCAGGCGGCATGGTCCAGGTATCGCTGAAGGACTCAGGAGTGAGGGCTGTCTCTAGCCCCACCACTTCCACCCAAGGCCCTCCCTCCTCCCCATCCCTTTCAGGAGCATGAAGCTAGCCCCTCTCGTCTGAATAAAAAAAGGATTTCCTCTTCCCCAGTAGACCTTCCAGGCATTTTAAGAAATGACCTTGAACCAAAACCTCTCAGATACACTGATATTTTAAGTTCTGGTTTCCAATCAGGCCCAGGATATGACAAGCCAAAATACCTTAAGAAAGGCTGTAGTTGTAGTTTCTGTATTTACAGCAGAAAATTAAAATACTACATTGTACATTTATGAAGAAAATGTGTAGTTGGAAGAGTCTAACCCCAATTTTCAGACCAAATAGGTTTGCATACACAACTGGAATCACATCTTGCTCAACATATTCACATGAGAAATCCCATTAAGACCAATATGATTACTCGTCTGTGTAAGTATTATGTGGTCAGAGGTTTGAGGGCCAGATCCCTGAACTCTGGATGCTTAGACAATTTACAACCTTTACACCTCAGCAAATGCAGTCTTGCAAGCACAACATACGTGGTGAAAAGAAAACCAAAACACATGTCACAACACTGGCTCTTATTAGTACATGCATGCATTTAACTTATGAATGCAAATAGCTTTTTCTTTCACCACTGAGAAAATGAAATCACTCACCCAGACCGCCTCTTTCCTCCTCTAGCAGGCATGGATCCTGCCATTCTCACCTGTCCTGTTGCCATCGGTGCAACTGGCAAAGTCACTGATCCAGGAATATCTGAAGCCATTTCTGTAACACAGAATGAAAATCATGTTATCCGCTATGAAAGGAGCAGCCAGTGATAATGAGGCACAGAAGGCTCTCTTTAAAAAAGAATCCACGTGGTACA